TATTTTTACACACAATCTAATTTTATTGTATTTGATATATAATTAGTATTAAATGTAATACAGAATATTTTTACAACATAATGATGAAACAATTAAAAATAAATCATTAATAATATAATATACAGGGTGTTTCAAAAAACTAGAAAATAATGCATGACGTAATAACATTTTTCTGAATTTGATAACGTCTCGATTTTACAAAAAACAAATTCCTTCTTCAGATTTGATCCCACTGTAAATTTTTCTTGAAAATTGTATGAAGGAAAAAATATACAGTTCAGACAACAAAAACAAATAACTTATAAAAACAGTTCATGCTTTGCAGCAATAGTACGACAGCACCCAGATGTTAAGCAACATTCATCATTCATTCATCCGTGTGCTGCACAAGAGAAAAAGAAATCTTGAACGTTTGCTTTATTCTGGGCCGGCGCTATCGTATAGGCCAATGTTTCTCAACCTCTAACGAATCGTCGCCCCTTCAACGTAGTATCGCCCCCTTCAATAAAACCGTTACGTAGTATCGTCCCCTGCACTACAAAATTTCGATGCCGAGGGACAAGGCTAACGCCAAATTCGTACTGCATTGAATAGACTAGTGACTAGTATAATGTTATTTGTTTAATTATTGTACGATATAACGAATAAAATATCTAATTAATCTTAATATAGTGTTTTATTATATCGTCCAGAAAATTGTTTTTTCGCCCGCAAAATATACTAATCGCCCCCTCAACATGAAAAAACGCCCACATGGAAGCGATATCGCTCCCGTTGAGAAACACTGGTATAGGCAAACGGGACATTTGCCCAGAGTGGCAAATTACAGTAGTGGCAAACTTTATAAATTTATACAAAATTTTCAAGTGTATTATTTTTAAAAATTTTTATTTACATTATATGGCGCGAGTTCAATGTTGATTGACGGAGCAAAGTGAAGGATTTTAACATAAAATTTTTTTCATTTCATGTAGAGGGATAATGGGCGTGAAATGCATGTTTTGTCCGGACTACATAAATCTTAGAGCCGGCTCTGGCTTTACTAATTTATTACCAAACGTTATCAGCATCTCGTTTTGATAAAATATCTTTGTCTTGTTATCATAGAGCATATATCAGTTAATTGTTCAATTGTTAATAATTAAGATAATCAAAATGTTGTCTTTACTAAATAGACTTAATAGTTAATACAAAGTGGGAAAGAGAATCACCTAACACGCCTGTTACAGAATATAGAATGTACTGTATCCAAAGAATGTACAGTACATTAAGCACATCATGTAACTGTAAACATTTGAGGTAGATCAATAAAATCTTTCAGCAATCAATTCTTCGTGAAATTTTGACTCTAACATGACCCCCTTCCATTTACAGTTTCGGAGTGAGATTGTTGTGTGTTACAAGCATGGCCGCCATCAAGATGGCGGCCATGCTTGTAACACACAACAATCTCACTCCGAAACTGTAAATGGAAGGGGGTCATGTTAGAGTCAAAATTTCACGAAGAATTGATTGCTGAAAGATTTTATTGATCTACCTCAAATGTTTACAGTTACATGATGTGCTTAATGTACTGTACATTCTTTGGATACAGTACATTCTATATTCTGTAACAGGCGTGTTAGGTGATTCTCTTTCCCACTTTGTATTAACTATTAAGTCTATTTAGTAAAGACAACATTTTGATTATCTTAATTATTAACAATTGAACAATTAACTGATATATGCTCTATGATAACAAGACAAAGATATTTTATCAAAACGAGATGCTGATAACGTTTGGTAATAAATTAGTAAAGCCAGAGCCGGCTCTAAGATTTATGTAGTCCGGACAAAACATGCATTTCACGCCCATTATCCCTCTACATGAAATGAAAAAAATTTTATGTTAAAATCCTTCACTTTGCTCCGTCAATCAACATTGAACTCGCGCCATATAATGTAAATAAAAATTTTTAAAAATAATACACTTGAAAATTTTGTATAAATTTATAAAGTTTGCCACTACTGTAATTTGCCACTCTGGGCAAATGTCCCGTTTGCCTATACCAGTGTTTCTCAACGGGAGCGATATCGCTTCCATGTGGGCGTTTTTTCATGTTGAGGGGGCGATTAGTATATTTTGCGGGCGAAAAAACAATTTTCTGGACGATATAGTAAAACATTATATTAAGAATAATTAGATATTTTATTCGTTATATCGTACAATAATTAAACAAATAACATTATATAGTCACTAGTCTATTCGATGCAGTACAAATTTGGCGTTAGCCTTGTCCCTCGGCATCGGAATTTTGTAGTGAAGGGGGCGATACTACGTAACGGTTTTGTTGAAGGGGGCGACAATTCGTTAGAGGTTGAGAAACACTGGTGTAAACGATGAAGTGAAGTAATTGTATTAAATAATGAAGTTAATCATAATTTACTATGCTGTATAAATGTAACATTATTGTCTACTTATAATAGTTAAACCGTATTGTATAGGCCAGTGATTCTCAACCTTTTCTTCGTTACGGTACACTTTTAATAATTTAAAAATTTGGCGTCGCACACGGTTACTTCGGTAAGTACTGCAGGACAACCGATGACGTCATAGCAGTGATTTTTAAACGCAGTTGGTTTTTCAAGTAATATTTTTCAATAATTTTTCAAGTAGTTACCGGTGTTGCCTAGGTAACTACCGGCAGTTACCGGCAACACCGGTTACAATTTTCAAACGCGCCCTAGGAAGGTAGAACCGATTGAACTACTTGTCTGACGTCGCTTATGTATGGGTATTTGCAGTGGCGGCACACTAAAGTGCCGCGGCAAAATGGTTGAGAATCACTGGTATAGAGCGTGATTCTAAGCTAATATCATAAAGTTTAAGGCAAATTCTACTCTCCAAGAGTAAACATGGGATTTGGACACGATTTCCTTCTGATATACAGTACTTGGAGATTGCTATATACATTTTTTGAAAATTAGCAAAATAAACAAAATATAAACATTGGTTACAGTGTCTAGACACTGCAGAGTGAAGGTAACACACAGCAAGTGTCACATAACTTCCAATGATGGCCGTGCAGACGTCCCATTGTTAACTGCTTCATAATCTGAAAAGTTTTTGGTGATATCGCATGCATTTTCAATATATTCTGAACTTCAACATTTCCCATTGGGGAAAACAAAGCACATCGCTGATTTAAAACGATCCTACGAATAAAAATCACAAGATTTAAGTCAGATGAGGTCATAGAGGAAGGTCTGAATATCGGAGAGTTGTTTCTGAACTCATATTTATTGAGAGTTTGTTATTTCTGAAGTATAATTCTATTTATCAGACGATGGCGGATATCTGTAAGTTCGCGCACTTCGCAAATAACTCGGGGATCTTCAAAAAGTTGAGGAGTTTTTTTTTTTAATAACTTTACGAGAAAGTTTTATTATCCAATAAGTCTTATTTAAACTTCGAATTATTTACTTTTATTTTATTCTATACTAAGAAGCGTGTTAAGGGACTAAAAATATATAAAGTTTTTATAACAAAATCTCATAACAGATGGCGCCACATACAATTTAGTTTTTGATTAATAATACAAATGTTATTTTTTAAAATAAAATCTCATAAAAGCCGGGAAAGTTACTCAACTCGTTGCTAGATTCTTTTTTAAACAAAAAGGGCCTTCCTATTGGATAATGAAAAAGGCTTTAATGTCATATCCGCCACTGTTCTCAGAAGTAACAAAATACTCAAAACACTTTAAAGTTTATGACAGGTTCAGAATCACTTTGTATATTATAATCCTAATTATGCGAAATTATAGATAGAATATTGTTCTACAAAATATTTATTCCAATAATTCATAGCAAAGATTTTTTTTTTTTTAATTTTGTTAAAACTGCGACTGTAAACTTAATTATGTAAGTCCCACGAATGTTTGATTAATTCTTCTACATAAATTGATTCTGGTTAACAACTTAATGAAAATTTAAATATTAATATCTACTATTAATCATTTATATCAATATTTTTTCAGTTAGTGTGCCAGAAGATTGATATTATGTTTTACGATGATTTGGCGTATAACCAGTATGAATAATTTCGTTTTATAAAAAGTTAGAATATAAATGATCGAAATTATTAATTCTTAATCATTTCTCTTTGTAATTTCGTACAGTATGAGGTGTAACGCATTTGTCAAATCAGGACGAAAAAGAAAACACTGAAAAATGCTAACTTGAATTATATAAAACATTACAATTAGATTACAAATTTAGCAAGATTTTGGATCTCTAGGAGTACAAGACTTATTAATATGGAGCGCGTGCCTTGTTAACAGGCGTAGCACTAAGGCATAGTACATAATATGAATGCTCATAGTCTAAATTCTACTATGAGCGTATCACTGTCTCATTTCTATGCGTTCATATGCTACCCTTCGTTTTAAATGAGACGTAGGACTAAATGTTTTCATATATAGGTCTAAGTCTAAGAAGCTATCATATACATCAGTGTTTTTCAACCTTCTTGAATACGCGACCCCTTTACAAGTTAAAAAATTCTGGCGACCCCCCAGGGCCATATTTAAACTATATCAGTGATTTTAAAAACTACGTATTAAATTTTCTTTCTTTAAATATCGATCGAAAAACCAATTGTACTATAAAATAAACAGGCACAGCTTTCTCACTGAAATTCTAGTTTTTTTTTTTTTTTATTGTAGTGTAGAACCTATAAACACTTGTCTTTTCTTACACCCGCGACCCCCCGTGTAAGACTTTGCGACCCCGGGGGTCGCGACCCACAGGTTGAAAAACACTGACATACATCATTAAAATCAATAATTTTGCTGTTTGTATCGATACCTTAAACTTTAAGTAAAGTCATGGCATAATTCTTTGAATTTTACTGTTACATATATTAATTTTCTCATTTATTAATAATAAAATACACGATATTCCTGTATATTATATTAATTTTTACTAGAATATTAAATTTAAAATATTTTATTTTTCAGATCAAAGCGGAAGGATCTCCCGATGACATTTTTAAAGAAGTATGTGCTTGCGTGGAGTCGTATAAATGTTGATGCATATCAAAAATGTACATAGTTTTTAAACCAAAAAATTATCGTTAAATTAAAAAATGAAGGGTTGTTGTTTTAAAAATGATAATCTTTTTTTCTCTGTTGATGTTTTGAAAAATTTGTTGCATTATTCCACATTGTTAAATTGATTTAACCAATAAAGTGTCTGTTAGATTTAAGCTTTTTATTGTTAATAAATCAAAGATCATGTTGAAAATTAAACTAAATAGTTTCAATTTATTCCTAGATTTAGATGTTATTCTTTATAGGCGTGTATTCTAAAAATCTACACAAATTTCAAGAGAGTTTTCAAAAACGTTCCATAGCTCAATAAGCGAAAGTCTGAATAATTACTTATGCGCACTAACCCTCGACAATCTTTCTAGAATATCCTTGAGTCCATTTATCAAAGTTTACGTAAATAACGTTCCGTTTTAAAAATAGGATTAAATTAATTCGATCGAAGAAATGTAATATATATTTATATCGAAAATCGCAAAAATGGGAATTCTTACACAATTAAAAGTTTTCTACAATTTGAGTTCATAAACCCCATTGTAGAGCTGAATCAAAAACCAGAAGCTTCGACATTTTTGGAGCACACGAAAAATCAATAATTTTGCTGTTTGTATCGATACCTTAAACTTTAAGTAAAGTCATGTGCAATACTAATAAAATATTGACACTTTAAGTCCAAAAGCGTCAATATTTTATTAGTATTGCACATCGCTAAAATACACGACGAATTACTTACAAAAAAATCCTCCTGCAGAAGCTGCGTGATAAAGTTTCGAAGTCGTCAATACTGATGATGATATGGACGAAGAATCATATTTCACTTTTGATGGAAGTGAGTGTGCTGATAACAATCACTATTTCACCGAAGAAGGGCTAGATGTGAATCCCGAATTCAAAACGACATGGGTAATTAATCAGTCCAAAGGATCGTTTACGAACCTTCGTTGTCTCGTCAAAGAAGTGTATGGCAACGAATACATTCAGAAGAGGCTAGTACCCTTCCTAAAGAAACACTACCCTAGCCAAGGATATATTTTCTGGCCAGACATGGTACTGCTCATTATGCACACGAGTCACGACACAGTTGTCAAATTGGACAATTACTGAATTTGATACATATTCCGAGAGGTCAACGTTCTCAACATTCCGCAACTGAGACCGAATGAGAGATTTTGGTACTAACTGAAGCAAAAAGTATATGGAAATGATTGGAAAGTCGGATCTGCCAAGGAGTTGGAAGATGTGATCAAGGCCAAATTTCACCACTTTAAAGCTGACCACTTCCTGAAGTTAATGGAACGGGTTAAGACTAAAGTCAAATTACAGCTGATCGCGGTCCTGATCATTTTATCTAAACGTTGAACAAACAATCGGCACCCCCAAAAAAGTTATTTTAAAATAAATAATGAATTTTAAACAACTGAAATTTCTTCAGATTTTTAGGATATACGTTCTTACTTTTTAAATTTTAGTGTGCTTTTTGTTAAAATTCGATTTATTTTTAATTAAGTCTAACTGATAGCTGTGTTCCTAGGCATTAATAAATTTTTGTAAGAAAAATAAGAGAATCAACGGTAAGGAACGGTTTGTAATTAATTCAACATGGATCACAAATCAACCACTGTTCAAGCTAACCAAAAAAAAAAAAAAAAACTCAAAAATACTCTTACGAACGATGTATCAAAGGTAATTGTACAAAATTTAATCGTTTCGTAGACTAAAAAATCTAGAAAACAATGTTCAAAATAGTAAATAATCTTATTTTCAAACTTAAGTTGATTTTAACTTATTAGCTTTTTAATAAATAACTAATTTTTTGTAAATTTATGCAACGTTTATGACATTCACCCATCCATTTAAAATATTAGTTCTTAGGTTTCGTATATGTGTTTATCTGCAAGTGATCTTCAATCAAGTCTCTACAAATAAACTTAAAATTTAAATGCTTAGCCGTGACGAATGCAATAGATTGTATAAGGACAAGGAAATGGATTGTTGTATGAACTGTCGATAACCTTTGTGAAACCAACAGTGACAACAGGTTTCATATGAGCAGTTCAGCATATTACCACACTAGATAAAAAAGTATTATTTTCTATTAAAAAAAAAGAAGTATACAATTGCAATCGGAAATAGGCTATAAATGACAACCCGAGGAAGTCCTTATAAAATTATGCTTTTTGAGATAGTAAAGCGGAAGTTAGTTTATGAATTATTTCAATTGAAAAATTAAGCTTAAAAATTATTTTTAAACTTCAAGTATGACAAGAGAATGGAATTCGGAAAATTTCCGGATAGTGTGGAAAGTATGGAAGAGATATCATAAATTTGTATATTTGTTTATACATACAGTCAAATCTCGCTACCACCAGTTAATGCTACTCTCGTAGTGCCAACGGACACTTGTAAACAGACATTGTATATAAATAATAGAATCCTTCAGTATTACTGAAGCCATGATTTTTGTATTGCAAACGACGACATCGCTAAATCAAGTAACTTTCAAATTGTCAAACTCAAACTTGTGTGTAGATCTCATTATTAAGTATAATTTGTAGCGTTAAATAGAAGCTTAGTTGTATATGAAGAGTGAGAGAAAATCATTTAACAGTTAAATGTATTTATTAATGCAAGATGAAACAAATAAATCTGAAATAGTCACATTTTACATAGTTAAAATTAGTATACAAAAGTGTGTAAACGCTGATGGTATTCTGTTTCTGTCTTTCATCCTTAATATTTTTAGAATAATTGTAAAACACATCTGTATTTAATAATAAAAGTAAATAAAAGAATTAAACCAGTAACAAAATTAAATAAATAAACCCAACCATTTCAGTGGATATTCAGCATTGATCACTGTCAATGACTTGTCTTATCCTATATAATGTATAATTATGTGCATCTTTATGTATGTAAGTTACATAGGCCTATATCTCTTTGCATACACTGTGTATATACGTAGCATCCACTCTACACGCTACATTCATGCACTCTTTCATTCAAATTTTTACATAAACACTAAATATTGATACTATACAGTATATATAAATATATTTTTATTTATATTTTAATACGAAGAAAATAAATGCATAAAATTATAGAAATTTAAACTGTTGTAAATTAAAAAGTGACATCCAACCTACAAAGAATTTCCTTGAATCATTTAAAGTATAGAAGATTTAATTAAAAAAAAATAAAACAAATCTAAAAATACACAAAATTGTATCGATGTAATAATTAAAAAGTTAATTATATATTTTGATTAATTAGATTACTATTCCTTTTAATTGATTACACAGGATTTAAAAAACAGAGGATACTAATATAAAGTCAATATTTATTATACTATATTTATATATAAAATAATTTTATAGATTTAATGTGTAAAGTAAGAAATAAAAAAAATACATTTTAAATAATTTTTATACCTATAAAAATACTCTTCATACAACGGGCACTGCAATTTATACGGTCTGAGGACTACAACATGATATATTATGTCTTTCAAGTAACGAGTCAATAAACAGCAATAGTTAAAATTGTGTTCTTTTAGCCTATAACACTTTAAAGATGCTTAAAGATGATAACTAAATATAGTTTTATATGAATGTTTAAGTTCATAAAATTGCAAAGCTTACAAATATAACATGGCACACATGATTGCCTTTCTCATGTTTTTCATACTAAAATTAATTTTGCTATGCATGGATTTTAATTGTTAAATAATGTGATTAGTCCAGGTAGATTGAATTTGAAATATTTTAGTAAATAGATTTGAACTAAATCTGATACAATGATATAACCTTGATCCGATGACCTCATCCCAAATTTCATCTTCTAAACCTTTTGTAGTCCGAAGAGGATAAACAGGATATTCATTGTTATCCAAATAGTAACAATAATCCCGCCTTTGTTCCAATTCTCTGTTTGTTCTAAATACTGTATCATGAAAAATTTCACAAAAATGTGGGTTATAATAAAAAAAATTTAAATGTAATTTATATTCATAATTTAATGCTTTAATTTTATAAATAATAAGGTAAATAAATGGATTAATTCCTTAGCAAAAGGTGCACATTGCTGAAATTATTTTTAAAAGTATTTTCAATGGTTATATAATTTAGATTTAAAGATAATTGAAGTGAAGATAAATAAGCAGAATTATAACCAATTTTTATGAATATTAACTCAAATTATTAGAATAAAGTAATTTATATTNAGAAAAGCAATCGACATTAGACAGATTCTTTAACCCTTTCAAACGGAAAAAACATGACTAATAAAAACGCAACACTGTGTATGTATGCAGTTTTATTAACTTATTACATATAAATAAACGTAGTAAGAAGGTATATATTTTTTATTTTTTAAGGTCTCCAGAACGAATTAATTAAATTCCCATTAAAACCTACGGTAAATCGATAATCGGTTAACGAACAATTCGGATAGCGAACAAACTCTTGGAACGGATTATGTTCGTTAACCGATCACCCACTGTAATGACATATATGGAAAAAAGCTTTATATATTGATGATGTTAAGGGTGATCTTTATTTACTGATGGTTTGCAAAATGATCCTTAAATATTTAAGCATCTTTCTGTAGAGGTAGCAAAATCACTGAAGAGAGACAAATGTTACCATATTGAAAGCTTCACTTACAAATTTTTATGAAAATTATAATGTTTAAATGCATCATTTCAATTTACTTAATTGATATTATCACAAAAAAGAATTATAAGTAACTTTCAAGCAGTTTAAAACGCCTAGAAGTTTGATTTTTCCCCCCTATACAACTTCATAAATAGTGAAGACTTTTTATATTTAATTTACTCATACTTAATTCGTTTGATGTTGAAAAATATATTTACTTTATTAGCAAAGTCTTATTCAACCAATTTTAAGTCCTCGTATTTTTATAACTTTGTCGTTTGAATTTCATGCAAATTTGCTGGATATTTATGGACGATCCAACTCTAATTACAATTACATTCTTTATTTTTCATTAAAGATTCAGAAAGAGAAATCTAATTCTTTTTTCGTTCTTTTTTCATATCTTTAAACAATGAAATAGCTTTTTCTTAAATGACGAAGTAGCCAAGATTCATGTTTCATAGGGTTAATAGTCTTTCAACCTTCTACATAATTATCTGTCAAGTTCTAGTTTTGTGTTCCACTTTCATTTTCCCAACAAAATTCTGTAGATTTTCTTCATTTTTTTAAAGTAAACTGTTCAGTTTAAGAAGACAATTTGGAGTCTCTGTTACATTCATCTTTATCAGTGCGATCAATAACGTTATAACGTTATAACTGCTTTCTGTATCACAGATAATGGCCTTCTTCTTGGCTTTATCAATGTAATAATCGCTAACGTTACCTTTTGAACGTTCCATTGTGCACAAATTAAAGATGCTCTCAGATAAAATACAAGAGAATCTTTGTGCTTAGTAGCACTTCGAATCACGCTCGATTTAAGTTAAAAATTCATAAAATAAGTTATTGAAATTGCTAAATACCGAAAATATATTAATAAATTTTAACAAATTTATCAATTTTTAATGTCAAAAATCAGAGTTATATATCATATTAGTTATTACTTCGCGATCGGGATCGGTAGATGGCAATCTGCAGGATACGAAGGTCTGTTCGATCGGTACATTTTTAAGTAAATTTGAAATTATTCTTTAGAATTTTTTATTGTAAAATGACGTCAAATTGACGTAAAAATGTACATTATCCCAACCATCGAACATACATATAATGTTAAGTAATATTACAATATTTTACTAGAATACAAGTTAAAAATATTGGCGTAAAAGATCACTCGCGGTGGTGTAAACTGCCAAAAACCTTAAATTTAAATATGAAATTATCATTTTTGAATTTTGTTAACATAATTTGCGATATTTTATAACATATAACATATAATTTTCTTATTTAAAGTTACTCTGTACGATTTATAAAAAGGTTGCCCTTCTCAGTACTATCATATCTCTTAACGTACTGTACTCAAAGAAGAAAAAAATATTTTCTCTTTTAATTTCAATAATGATGATAAATACAGTGAGTTAATTTTTCCATTAAGAAAGGATATTGAAAGAATTTCTAAATATACATTTTGCGGCGTGTATTCATACAATCTTCAGAAATTATTAGGCTACCGAATTNGCCACGATCTGGCCACGTGAATAAGTTGAAGTTACATCCTTCTAACAGGAAAAGTAACTTTCGTTATCATGGAATTATAACAAAACCTGCCAATTCAATATAAATGGAAAAAAAATATTATATGGAATTGAACGAAAATGAAAATTTGCTTGATAATTCAACTACGCTTGCTGGAAATAATAAAAACACTACACTCAACAAGCCACCAATAAAACTCAACTGCCTAACCTATAACCAAAGTCTCCTTTTAATTTGTTTTTAAAAAAAAGAGTATGACAAACTTGCCCCGCATGCCGAAGTTGCCCCGGTCTCCCCTAAATATGTGTATATAACTACAGATATATATATATATATAGCTTATGTGTATGATCACACAGATGTCTGTGTGATCATATTTATTTTATTCAATAAACTTATAATAAAAAGTGAAAATTTCGAAGAATTAGCCATTTAAAAATTTTTAAATTATTAAAGTTTTTAATGGTTTAAATATTTAAATAATTAAAAACTTTAAATATTCCGAGGTTGGAATTGAAGATTATCGTTTAAAATCTTAATTTCCGATTAAAAGGTTTTAATATCATCAAAATAACTTAACATTTTTCATTTTAAAAAATAAATCATTAAGTAGTTTTTTAAATTGAAAATATTACTATTGATTGAGTATAGATATAATCTAGTCTCTTGAAAGTTATATTTAAAATAATTTATGGTTAATTAATATAAATAGAATATAAATATATTAATTGTGACGTAAAATATTATTAAATAAAATATATTTATCTTGTATTCTTGGTATGTTAGAAAATTATAGTATATACTTCAGGGCCATATAGTTTATATTAGTACAACAATAATGCTTTATTAATTTAAGACACTTATACATTTAACTACGGCATATCTGAAGAGGTCGAGAGAGGCTCGCAACGTTCCAAATAAATTAAAATCATCGAAACTGTATTAAAAATTATGTTATGCATTTTAAATAATAAAAATTTGACGAAATATAAAGATTTCTTCACACAAGAAAACTCAATGGAGTGAATAAATTTGTGAGGGTCTCATAAATGTGGGTCCTACCAAATGACTTTTCTACCCGCTGTGACAGAGATGCACTTAGCCACTTGCAGTAATTTTGTTTTCTTTTTTAGAACAATACAAAACATTCTATACAGCTTGAAATAGATAAAAGAACATCGTTCATAAAGGAAAAAATATCTTAAAGATAAATCACATTTAGAGATACTGTACATATCAATAGTATATTTTTTTTTTTTTAATATATATAAAGTTTTTGTTTTATATTTTTATATACATTAATTAAATAAAAACAATGCAATCACAATGCAATATAAATTTGTGTTATTGACAATTATTAATTCGAATTCACTATTAAATCAAAGAAATGAAAGTCCAAAAATTTATTTAATTAATATTATAACAACGAAATTCGAGTTACAAGACATATAAATAAAGAAAATGTAAACAAAAATTAATTACAAAATAAAATCAAACATATAATAAATGAAAACATCCTAATGCAATGTAAAAGCAATATAAATGAATCAGTGAACTTAAGAATATTTCATTTCTACTGTTTGTTTAACAGCATATTATTTATTCTCTACACATGTCACAAATAAATTGAACAAACTTATTTTTCACATCCGTACAGTCCACATGAGCCCACAGTTTACACTTGCAGAACATAATCCACTCCTGAGTAGTTCCATATTCTTCATTGCAATACATGCAATAAGTATTTTTACCGTCATTTTCCGGTTCTTTAGGACTTTTCTGCCTCTTCTTTTAGTTAACTTCGAATCCAGTTTCTCCAAATCCATTGTCCTTCGGCAAGTTCTGGATTTTTATCTTTAGTCTTGGCTTCTAATGTGGCTTTGTATGGGGATCCAGTTATTTCTTCTGATTGTTGTTATTTGTGTCCCCGATTGGAAACTTTTCTTTGGGTTTCGGTAGAGGAGATATATCAGAAACTTTCAATATCATTTCATTTTCTGTAGAACTATTGCTTTCACCCGTGGGCATGGTAATGTGAGATGAAGAGGAAGATGGCAACAGCTCAGAAGAGGAAGGAATCGGCACAGGAGCAGAAGGCACTGCAATAGAAAATGTTGTATTTCGAGAATTCAATACAGCACTTGCGCCCATGAAATCATCATCTTGGAAGATGTCAGGATTATAAGGGGAGATTCCGGAACGCTGAAACCCCTTCATTATGTTTTCTGGTGCAAATGCCCGAATGTATGCCTCCTTTATGAGAGGTCCCATTGTGAAGTCGGTAATTCTTACGCCAGGATAGTTTGTCATGTATTTGTCTATTTCCTGATAAAGGTAGGTCTTGAAAGGACCGTAAATAGCAACGTCTAGTGGTTGCATTTTATTGCTGGTGTGTGGAGGCAATGTTATTAATTTGATCCCATTGTCTCTGCATAGGTTAATTGCTCCTAGCGATTTATGGCTTGCGTGGCCATCCAATATTAGGATCACAGGAGCTTCCATTGAAGGTCGGACATATTTGATGAAGTGCCCGATGTATTTTAAAAATAAATCGACATCCATCCAGCCAGAAGGAGCAGCATAGGCAGCAGTTCCTGGAAATGAGCCGAAGAGCAAATTCGGATTTATTCTTGTCCTTGGATAAATGACCATGGGTGGAAGAAATGTACCAGCAGCACTAATGGTTCCTACCACAGTTATGTTCCTCCCTTTATCAGCAGAGGTTATTCTATCTATTTGTCTTAATCCCCTCGTTGCAAGGAATTTCTTCGGTGTCTGGACATTTGACACGCCTATTTCGTCCATGTTGAAAATCCTTTCCGCGGGTATATTGTTATCAATCTTAACTTGCTGAAAGATTTCGAAGAATTTGTTCACCTTTTCTCTAGTAAAGCCCATTATTCTTGACATGCTCATACCCTCTGGTGTTCTCAGTGAGAGGTTTTCTTTCTTCATAAAATTAGCTAGCCAATCTGGACCGGCCATCTTCTTTTCTTCATTAAAGGGATGTTGCAGATTATTGGCTTTTGCATACTGAAATGCTAATCTTCTAAAATCAACCGTCGAAATGCCATAAAACATTTTCTGTAGCGTCATTACATGGTGTTTCAGCTGAGTTGTATGTTCGGGCATGAACACATGTCTAAATCGGCCTTTATTTTGAATACCAGGCGCTTGAAATTCCTTCTTCATCCAGTATTGCAAGGTAGTCCGAGGAATTCCATATTTCTTTGAGACAGAATTTAGGCTTACTTTTTCATCCCGGTAGTATTGGATTGCTCGCCTTAAAGTTTCTTGGTCATATTTATCATTCTTTTTTCTTTTATAATTCCTAACCATTTTCGTTAGAGTTCTGCAGAAATAAAATTAGAGTGTTTCAATAATTGAACCTAATTATTCTTCGAAAATTTAATCAAACAACACGATCAGGGGTAAGATCGGCAACACTGCCGAAGATGCCCCAATAGTCATGATTTCGAAACATTAAGTGGAACCCTGAGAAGAGGGTACCAAGCCATGATCTGATCACGTGAATAAGTTGAAGTTTTATCCTTCTAACAGTAAAAGTAACTTTCGTTATTATGGAATTATAACAAAACATGCAAATATAAATGGAAGCAAAATATTATAAGAAATTGAATAAAACAGACAACTTACTTGATATTTCAGCTACACTTGTCGGAGAACAATACAAACATTACACTCAACAAGCCACTCCAATAAAAACATTAATAAAGCCACCAATAAAACTCAACTGCCTAGCTAATCAGGGTCTCCTTTTATTTTGTTTCAAAGAAAATGTAATTGACGAACTTGCCCCGTATGCCTAAGTTACCCCGTCCTCCCCTATAACACGCTCTCTAGGGTATTTGGAGGAAGAAATAAGCAAAGGAAAAATTATTTTGATTTATGACCGAAATCGTAAGCGCAATGATAGGCGATTACAAATACAAACAAGTAAAAGGTCACAAATAATATGAAAAAAGTTGAATTATGATGAAAACAGAACTGGTTCGGTCGCAAAACAGCATAAACATAACTCATAAATCTATGAAATTAATTTATAACTTAAGAATTTATAATAAATTTCGTAATTATAAGCTGATTAATGATTTTATTATATTAAAGAATATAAAATAATTTTACATATAGTTATTTTTATAATGTTTAGCGAGTAAAATATTTACATTAGACTCTCTATAATAGTGAACTCTCAAAGGGTTGAGACAAATCATTTACTATATTAAGAGTTTGTTATACTTATAAAAAAAAGTAAGAATCAACAAAATTGTTTGCTATATTAAGTTTGCTATATCGGGCAATCATTATGTCAAGAGTATACTATATATAAAATCGTTCTAATTAACATTATAAATATTACGACTGAATATTTAAACATGCTTAATAATTAAGAATATAAATGTATTTAATGCTAAAAATGTTTTAAAATATTTATTTTAAAATATGGATAAAATTAAAAATGTTTTCCCAGTTTTTTAACATGAAATTCTTAATGTAGAATCTTAATGTTAAAAAATATATTAACTTGTCAGACATTAAACACGGATGAATGATTCTTGATTAGATTATATTATCAACATTGAGAGGGAAAAACTAGAATGATACAAAGATGTCTTCCATTGAACCCAAAGATTGACCAAGAGCAAACAACTTCCTGGTTTGATTCAAATATTTGAAAATGGACAGACAAACGACCTTGTTTTTGCTAAGCTAAAGAAATGGCCTGGCGTGACAAAATACCCCGTTAATGGAGAAGACTGACAAAAATGCTCTTCTTTTTTTCTATTATCATTATTATTAACATGAACATAACTCTGAGAAAATATTCTTTGTTATACGACATCAAAGAAAATATTCCCATAAATTTTGATATATTAACTAAGCATTAGCAAATTTTCTGCTCTAGAAATTTCGGTTATAACCGATTGTTACCTTAATAGTACAATTAAACAATTAACTAAAAACTCAATTTTTTTAAAATTAAAATTACTTTTTATGTAATTAAATTATTAGTAGTTACACGTGTTCAGTTATGAATATGCCATTTTTTGTGTCGAATTTTAATTATATCTTTTAACTTTCTAAATTGTTAGATATATGTTTACATTCGCCTCTATTTCACTAATTATCAATATATTTGAGCTTTTATTCAACTTAAACCTTCTTGAAATTGCTAAAGGATGCTATCTTGTAGATATACTTGTTACAAATTTAAAGACAGTTACAAAGTACAATAAATTCTATTGAGAATCTTCAGATAATTAGAACTACGTTCTTGACATATGTTTCTTCTTAAGAAATTTTTAAGTAGCAACATCTCAAGATATCTTGTAGGTATCATTAAATTTATGAGTATCTTAAATTAGTTTTATAAGGCAAAAAAAAAAAAAAATGTTTAAATTATGAAAACTATAATTTAGAAAGAGTTAAAGTTTAATGCCTTGTAGTTTAAATTAAGCACATGGTACCTAATATAACTTTATAATAATATTAATCTATCTTTTAGCTATTACATTTTTTAAAGTTAATTATAATATCTTTATTTTAGTACAATTTAAAAAGATATATTAAGTACCTTGCGACTAAATTATCTAATTGAAAATTCTTTAGATACACTCTGTAGTTAGTTTAAACTATTGAACTTTGTAATTTGGTTTTACTGTAATTTAAAATTAATTTAATTTAGATTATGATGGGTAAATATAAGACAAACTATCTTGTACTTTATAGCACTAATTTAAATAAAAATGCCTCTAAAATATCTTGAACTATCTAAAGAATCTTCATGTAGGTAGAAAGATGTCTTGAACTAAATATAATTTAAATTTGAAAACATCTACTTACTTTAAGATTTTTTAATATTTATTTAAAAGAACTTTGTAGCTAAGTTTAAATGATGAAAGGTACCTTAAACCTATCTTTAAATTAAGATAAACATCGCTATGTTTACCTTAAAACACTTATTACCTACTCATATTTTTAAATAATATTCAAGGTACAGTACAAGATATCAGCATAACCAGTTTCTAACTTATGACTAGACTTTAAATAAATATATATAACACTAGAATTTTTACAAAGATCATAACCAGTTTATTTAATCTAGTAAACAACTAGATTAAATAATGCTGTTTTGTTTCTTAATACACAAAACCGGAATTTGTGTTTTTAAAATAATGACGAAATCACCCCCTTTTGAACTTACTCCTGACAAAGAACCGTTTATAAACTGTTCTAGAGGAAGTGTTTCTATAAAAAAAAAAAACGCTTCTGTTCTAATGAAAATAATCCTCCCTGATGTATGATAAAATGAGTTATATTATATTTTATTTTTTAATGTATTTAATCTTTATGTGCCATCAGTTGTCACTATCACCTGGTCCACGCCAATGTTAATAAGTTAGAACACGAAAACACAATTGCTGTTGATTTTTTTATGTGATAAAATTTTTAATTATTATTTAAAACTGATTTAAAGATATGAATTTGAATTAATTAAAAAATTTTAATAAAAATTTTTAATTGAATAACGTTAAAAGTTTTGAAGTATTTGATTATTTTCGCTATTATTTATTAATAGAAAATTGTTTATAAATGGTTTTAAAATCAAAATTTATAAATTAATTTATCAAAAATAGCTTAATTTTGTGATTAATTAATACGTTAAAGAGTTAAAAATCCTTTTTAAAATAGTTTCTTTTACCGAATAACATTAAAATTAAATTTAAAAGAGTTTAATTTTAGTAAAAATTGGATATTTTACAGAGAGTTTGGCTGTTTATAATGTCCAATAGTTTAAAATTTATAAACTTTATAAAAGCATTGACAAAATTAAATCATGTTTTAAAATTAGTAAGCTAATTAAAAGTCTACATTTTTCTATAGAACACAGTTTAAAAACTCAAATAAATAGCAAATTATTTTAAAAAATTAAATTAACTATGCTAAATTATATTTAGGATATTCGAATATTTATTTATATTCACTTAGTTATTTATAAATATAATTTGTAGAGAAGGGGAAAGATACAAAATAGTAGGGAGATAACTGAAAAATTCTATTCAAATTAATTGCGGGATGTCAATGACTTATTAGGTATAACAAAATGATTTGGTATAAATAACTCATTTCTATTATAAAAAAAAGTATATATATATTCTAGTGTTATATGAATCGAGTGTGTCCGTCATGCACTGAATCCTTTCCATCCTCTATCAATTGTATCTCGAGTGGAATCGATTGAGAAAATCTTCTCAATAAACTTCTATTCTTCGAAGAATAGAATCCCCTAATTGGATCCCCACAATCTTCAATCTGTATCGATAAATTCCGGTCACTTATGCTCTAAGCACGAAACTTTGACTATATGTTTCCTGTATATTGCACCACAATATAATTTACAGAATTATATAGTTTGTTAATTATATAATAATTGTACTGTTATCAATTAAGAAATAGTTGTACAAGCAACAAGTTTTTCTATATTTTTCTGCACAGGAGAGTTTTGGAGAAATTTTAATTTTCTCCTATATACTCTATAAAGTCATACCTTTCACATGTATAGAAAGATTATAGGAGTTATAGTGTGTAGAAGAGGTATTATTTCTTATATAATTCTCTTTTTTCTATAAACTTCCTTTTTCTATTTGTCTCCTTTATAGGACGTCTATCTTCTACATACACACACATATCTTATATAGGCCTACTATATTCTCTCCTAAATTAGAATATAGAAAACTTTTTCCTATACCTCTCCTGTATAGAAAAATTATAATTGTCTCCTAAAAGTTCCTGTAATTTACAGCTAGAAAATGCCCTTGCTAAAGCTTTAATTTTGACATATACAGATTAAATAAAGGTGATTTTTTAAAACACTTTAAAAGACTTTTCACATTTTTAAAAATTTTATATTATTAAATAAATATTTAAAAAATATCCAGTTTTTTAATAAATTATTTTTATTGTATCACTATTTTTAACACTTTACGGCCATCTTTACTACAAAATACGCATTCTCCAATTTATTAACAAGTAAAAAATATAATTAAAAATTGAATTTAAAAGTAAATTTAATCGATTCTTCATATAAACTCTTAAACGTTTCATTTTATCTTTGGCACACGCTTAAAGCATCAAATTATTATTATTAAGTATACAATTACCGGAGCATGATCATTAAACTTCAAGAACTCGCATGAATATGCAAATTAAAAATTTGCATATTTATAAATTATTTTATCATATAGAATTCTATTATTATTCAAATTACTAAAGGTTAAATATATTAATGAATGAGCCTGTTGAATAGATTTACTCATTAAATAAGACAAA